AATTATTTTTTTTAATTACGTTTCCTTCTTTTACACTATTTTTGCTATGCTCGTATATAGCAAAAATAATGTAAAAGAAAGAAAACTAATTAAAAAATAATTAAAGAGAAAAAAATCTTCCCCGACAGGATTCAAACCCGGCCTTTGGATCATAGGGCGAACGGTTAAACTGCTATGCTATCGAAGCTGTTGAAATTTCAGGGATATATAAAACCTTAAATATATATAGTATTTTAAACAAAATTTGGTTGGACAAGTACTGCGAGTATTTTTTAGTGTTTAAATTTATTGATCAAAGATCAACGATATAAATAGTTATATTTATACATCTTTTTTAAAGTAATATTTCACATGCCTGCAGTTCAGCCAACCTGAACAAAGACAAGTAAACTTTTGCAAGAATATTTTCTCAACCACCTGCAAAACAATCACTGTGTGACAATTTCGAATTTGTTTGTAAAAGGGCTGAAAAAAATTTCAACCAAATGGTGCTGACCCCTTTTTCTTTCAAAGATAGATGTCTCTTGCATACGTAAGGAGAGACATCAATTTTATACCTCGGGTCAGAGAAGATTCAAATAATGTGTTCAGGGGAAAGAGATTCAAAAGGTCTGCTCAAAGAAAGACAAGATTTGAATACATTGCTGTGGATAAAAGGGTTTTAAAATAGAGTGGATACTTATGTAAAAATGTGCCTGGCTATGGGGATATTGAAATTATGTACTTTCAAGTTGTTAATTAGGAAATTAATTAATGTGTTCGGGAAAATTAAAGGAAAGACTCAAATACCCGGTAATTACGTCTTATGATTAAAGAAGGTTCAAACAAAGAGGAGATTCTAACGACAGATTATGGGAAAGAAAGATTCAAATCACTTCCTTGGGTATTGTTGACTTCAAGAATATGCCCTGGTTCATATGATGTTTCCTGAAAAAAGAGGAGATTCAATGAAGAGGAAACTAGAAGGAATGTCGAGTGTGATCGTTGTGCCTGGGAAAGTAGAGATTCATTGCACACAAAAGTACCCTGAAGTTGACATAAAAAAGATGCTTGAGTCTCTGATTGACAATATCTATGTGGTTTTTGGAGACCAGGTCTTCCAACAATCTATTGGAATTACTATGGGTACCAATTGCAATCCGTTATTATAGCAGACTTATTTTTGTATTCATGTGAAGCAGAATTTATGCAAAATCTTATGCGTGAAAAGAAGAAAACACTTGCTGTGGCCTTCAACTCAACATCCAGGTATATCGACGACGTATTGTCAAGTAACAATGGTAATTTCCATTCCTATGTCAATACGATATATCCTGATGAGCTTGAGATAAAAGATACCACAGAGTCTGACACATCTGCTTCATACTTGGATATTTTACTTGAAAAAGACACTAATGGTAATCTTACAACCAAGCTCTATGATAAACGTGATGACTTTAACTTTTCTATCGTCAACTTCCCTTACCTATACAGCAATGTACCTTCATCACCTGCATACGGAGTTTACATATCTCAGTTGATTCGATACGCTAGATCATGCTCTATGTATGAACAATTTCTAAAACGAGGTAAATTATTAACAAGTTGATGAAAGAAGACTATCAGCAGTCTCGTTTAAAGTCATCATTTCGTAAGCTCTATGGTCGATACCATGACCTTGTCAGCAAATACAATTTATCATAAAGTCAAATGCTGGCCGACCTTTTTCATAATAATTGTTAGTCCATTATTTATACACTGAATTGACGGCGGATTTTTCCGTTATTTCCTGATCATGACAAGAAGCACACGGCGGGTGTGACCGGTCGGCAGGGGATGCTTACTCCTTCATGACACCTAATCCCACCTCTGATGTTTTGGAGGTTCGTGTTTGCTCTGTTCCTATTTTGTATTGTTTTATGGACTTTGAAACTGAATACTGTTCGTTATCTCCATATCCTTCATTCAAAAGGTGTACTCTTGGGAAAGAACGTGTACATGTATATGAACATAATATATGCATTCAGTTGTACTGTTTAATGCCAGAGTATCTTGACACCAGGGGAAATACTTTTTTTCTGACGAAGCAAGTTTTATCGAGTACATTTAATATCTCTTCATTTAAGTAACTTTTATTTACTGTCTGTGCGAGCCTATAAAGAACATTGCATTGTTAAGAATAAAACATAACTGCACATTATGTCGACAAAATAGATTAAGAATGATTGGCAGTTTTTGTCATGGCTTTATTGATTAATAGTCAAATCAATCATCAATACAATCAATAGTCAAAATCAATCATCAATATAATCAATAGTCAAATCAATCATCAATACAATGAATACAATGATGTACACAAGGTATCTCTACAATGATGTACATAAAGTATCAATTCAATGATGTACACAAAGTGTATATTGAATAATTAATACACAATGGGTACAATGATATTCAATGATAAACAATGATATTCAATCAATGATGTACGCAAAGTGTATACATGTATTTACACAATGGGTACAATGATATTCAATGATATGCATTGATATGCAATGTTATGCAATAATATGCAATGATATTCAATGATATACAATGATATTCAATGATAAATGAATTGCAAAGAGCAGGTAGCAATGTATTACAAAGACAATGGTCCTAACCCTAACCCTAACCCTAACCCTACTATTTCCTGACAAGTTTGTTAGTGTTTAGGTACATGTAGTTTCTAACACACTAAGAAATCCTTGAAACTTATTTATTCGTTTATCTATTTTATGTTATTATAATACGATGTGTGGCCTACAATTTTAAACTGATTTAATTGGAATTTTTTATTTCCTGACAAATTTGTTGAAATGTTTAGTTAGTTTCTAAGACTCTAAGGAATCCTTGGAATTTATTTATTTATTTTATTTTAAATAAGAGGATGGGCTTTCAATCTTAATCTGCGTTAATTGGAATTCCTATTTCCTGACAAGATTGTTGAAATGTTGTAGTTTCCCACACTATTTATTTATTATTTTTTATTATTTTTAATTCATAAATTTTATTTTATTTATTTCTTATTTTATCTATTTAGTTATTTATTTGTTTTTGTTACCTACTGACTGACAATCCAATGGAGTTAATAGATGAAAATTTTTCCTAAAGTAAGACATGTCTTTGAACACCCAAGGAGCATGCGCTTACAAACGTTGGACACTGAATATTTTGCTCAAGGAAATCATTCCATTTTCCTCGTAACTTTTAAGGATCGTAAAATAACATTTCATGCATTATATTATGCAATTTCATCATCATAAAATACTTTACTTTTCACTATAAACATTTCAATTCCTAGTTTCCAAATGAAATTCTATTTACAACACAAATAGACATCACAATATACACAAACTTCACTAAACACAATCTTACCAAATCTATGGTATATGAATGTGATCTGTAGATGGTTCCCTTCTCAATCAGTCATAGCTTACCCTCAACTCTCACACTCCCTGTCAGATCTGTAACTCTTTCTTCAAAGATATTTCTCAACCAGTGTACAACATGGAGGCACAAACAATGGTGGTGATGATCGATGTGATCATGGTGATGTCAATGCAAAAATAAATAAATAAACATTGAATAAATAGCATATATCAAGACAAGCACAAGTGTTACAACAAGACTGTCAAGAGCTCAGCTGATTGATGCACAAAATAATTCAATTAAATGGCAAGTAAATATATAACAATTAAATTAACAAAGTGATAAATGCCACTATGGTTGAATTCGCAGAAAATGTCTTTCTTAAGGTTCATTCACAGCCAAGTTCCTCGCTGCACTTAAAAATTAAAACAATTTTACCGACACATGATGTTTACACGGAATCCATGATGGATGGAATATTTTGCAGTCCGAACCCGATGATATGTGACACCGATCTATGTCGTGGCAGATCCAAGAGGCACGTGATCACTGCATGGTGGCTATTGGCAATGTCCAATGTATGTGGGCACCATTTGTAAACGTTGGTTTTAATAACAACGAAAAGTTGGTTTCGATTTCTTACACTGAGGTCATGTTCTCAAACAAGAGTTCATCTACTGCGGTGGTTGCTGCACACGTGGTTAATATCGTCGTTGGGGATGTTGATACTTTAGATATGCCATGATAATATTCACACATCGGGTAATATGGATGGGTCCTTAGTCCAGGATCTATTTGCCCTGATTATGTTCATATTTCCGACGTTGGATGGTCAAAGGAACACAAGATGAAGATGAATATTGTTGAGACTAAACTCGATGCTGAGCTTCAATGGATGACGGAAGATGGAAAGGAAGAGCAAATGCACATGCGTAATGGATGTGACTAAATGAAGTCAGTGCATTTTAGTGAGAGTTATCTCCCCTGAACTTTTTATCTCTATTTGTCTCCATAACGGGACTTAACTCATATTGAGTTAAGTCGGATTATATACCATGTAAAACATACTCGGCGTTAAACAATAATAATCAATCAATCATATAAAATACTGAGAGGAAAGTTTATTTTTGGAGAATGATGTTTCGTTAAAATCATAGTGTAACATTTAAAAAAAATGATAATACCAGGTGTATAACAATTTTAAAATTTATGAGTGAAACCAAAAAAAATACTGAAACTGTTTGCACTTTTTTAGAGACAACCCCTAAATATTTTTCAATCAATGGATTCTAGACCCCCACTAAACTGCGTCATATAATCTAATCATTTTCTGCATAGGGGATTTCTTCTTTATCTTCAAATTCCGAATCAAATTTGAAATCAAATATGTAATTGACTGTCACATAATAAAATTCTCTAAGTGAGAAGAAAAATAATTGGCATAATATAAGACATTCTTTTTGAAACTTTCAAATTATAAATTCTATAGCTTCTTTGTCCGCTTTTTCTATTGAGTTTGGACTGCACACAGGAATTGTAATAATTATAAAGAATCATAAAGATGTTGGATTATGAAAATTTAATGACTTATTAAGAGTTGATATGCAACGGGAACAAAACTGTTTTAATGTCATAGACTGGATTTTTTTTATCAAAGTAAAAAAAACCCATAAATATACAATCAAACTATCTACTTTCATTTTCAAACAATCCAAGAAAAAACTCAAAAATGCGAATATTTACTAGTACGTTTACGTGCGTTTTCCAGTTGCTACATATATTAAGACACCGAATTATTTTCAAAATCTTGAAAATTGAACTAAAATATTCCATCCCATAATTTATTCGTTGGAGGATCCAGGATTCCTTGTATCCATAGGCGGGAAATTCTGCATGCCTCTAACACTCAATGTCTTAACATGTTTATCAGGAAAGCGATTGAGAATCTCATCTCCCTCACTGTCCTCTCCAATCGTTTCTAACTTGCTTTGGATGTTCTTTCTAAGATCTACAATGGTTTGTTGTTGTTTCGATGCAATTTGTCCGGAAAGAATTTGAAGACCGATTCCTGCTTTCAATATTTTCCATTTGGACGGTTTACTGATATCCTCTTTTTCTTTTCTTTCCTCTCTTTCTCCATCAGCTATTGGTTTCACAAATTTCTTAATCGGAATTTTTGTATCCAATTTTTTATCGAAGATTTTTGTTCTAGCTACTATATGAGAAATTGTTGAAACACGGTGTGTTATCATTCCAAAAAATTGCATAAAAAGAAGAATACCAAAGACAAGCGTAAAAGCTATAGAGATAGGTTCGATCACGCCTTGAGAATCCCCGACACTGCATGGTAGTGGGATTGAAAGTGTGTTCTGATAGGCATTTACTTGAGTGAGAACATAAACAATTGTAACAAAAATGGCATTTGTTATAAAATAAAAGAAAAACACCTTGTTTCTAAGATCAATAAGTTCAGCTTGCATTTTAGCCTTTTCATCGTCATTCATTTTCAGAGGGTTGAGGTATTTTTTAATGAATTTTCTCCAAAAATCCTCTTCATCTGTTTCAATGGGATTGCATTCTTTGAAAATACCATGTTTTTGGTTTCCCTTTTGTCCTGAAGAGGAAAAATAATCTTTTTTTATTTATGTCTTTCTCATTTTTGAATTAAAACTTAATAATCCAAATCAGGAATAAATACATATACAAGTACCTGTGCCTTTCTTTTCCGTTGCTTTTGCTTTATCTTTGGAACCGCTATTCTTTGTGGTCTCTGATCCCTGCACTTTCGATTTGCTTTCGTTTCCTTCAGCTACCTGTTCCTTCTTCTTGGATTTTACTGGACTTTTTTCATCCTGTTTATCATCAGACTCTTTATCAGCCTGGTTCTCTTCATCTGACTCCCCTTCTTCTTCTGATCCTGTACGTCGTTTATCCTCAATTTCATTAAAGCATAAAGTACATCTGTAAGAAATAACAGTCATAGGTAACGATTTCAAAAATGTAAATTGTCAATAAAATATTATATAATATCATAGCAATAACATAATCTTTTCCATGATTTAGATATTAAAACGGATGAAATAGTTTCTTTTTTCCATGAAATGTTTATAAATTTATTACTTTACCTGCACCAGTCCCCAATAGAGCACGATTGGCCTTGAACTCGTTTCTTTATCTTTTGAGATGAGGAGTCATCCTTTTTTGCTGTTTTACTTTCACGTGTTCCCCAATTAACGTTATGCAGATTTCCAACAGAGTAAAAGATTAAAAGCATTGACATCGATGGAACAGCCAGGAAATAAAGAAGTCCGTGAAAAATACAGGAAAATTCCTACAATCAACAAAGGTAAAATGTCATTTAACAGTAATGTATATCAAAACATCAAGCCCTAAATAATATCTTTTTAGTTTTAAAGTAAAACAAAATCCGTAGGGTCATCTTTAAAATGATATTTGTTTGCGCTCTCCCGACTCAGGGTAAAAGAATTGGGTCAATACGTAGGTGGGACAATTTTTTCCGGAAAAAAATCAACAAACACCCTGACAAGATAAAAAAAAAACAGGAGAAAAAAGAGAAAATCCCTTTCTTGGAGTTATTATTTAAGCTTTTATCTTATTTAAAAATTATCTGAGTCGGCCATTTTGAGTCAGTCTGTCGAACGAGGGGAAACAAACAACTTTTTAAAGATGGCTTGATATTAATTCCAGGTCTCTGGTCTGTTATTTCCCGTAAACTTTATATGAATACCATTGGGTGCAAAACTGCAGCAATTATGAAGACTCCAGCCACGAAGCAAAAGAAAACAGTTGTAACTGAGCAGAATTGTGCCTCGACTCCTTCCTTTAGCAACCCTATCAGAACAACCAACATGACCAAGCTGTAAAGCGTCGACAATATTGCCGCAAACAAAAGCTGCAAAATTAATAAATAGTGTTTCAAAATTACGTTAAAAAACATATATAACATGTGGAAAGAGTAATAGAAGAGATCGATTTACCTGCGTTTCCTCTTTGGCAACGTAAATTGAGATTATAAAGATGGCTACAGGTACACCATTTAGTAACAATGCAAGCCATGGTTCAATTTGTGGAAAAGCTGTTATGATGGCACCAAGAATCAACAGAAAAATTGTTCCTGGTGTCAGTATTGAGGAAATAAATAAACAGATGTGGTAAAATATGTACGGTCTTGAAATGTTCTGATTCGTTTTTCGGACACTGTTTCCATCCATTAGAAGATCCAAAATGTTAGCCATTGTAGATGGAGCCCAGCGTCTCCTCTGGTTATAGAACTCGTAAAATCCTTCCGGGGCAAAGGTCAAAGCATCCGAGGCAGCACAATATTCTACCCTGTACTTTTGTTTTAACAACAAGGTACATAACCATCTATCTTCACCTGCATTACAAAATAACATAAGCTTATAATTTAAATTTGCAAAACATGCAACCCTCCTCCATATTTTCCAGCCATCAGGAGGATATTCGTATAAAGAAGAGATTCAATATGTAATATTTTCCATTAAAAAAAACTGATGCATATGAACACTTAATTAAAGTGTTATTTTAAGATAACATAAATGTAAAAATTACATACCAGTAAGGTAAATGTATTCATACTAACAATTGTTGGTTGTTTAAAATGATCGCGACACTCTTTTTAAATGCCTACACCAGCTCTTACGAGGGCTGTTCAAAAAATAATATCCTCGTGCTCGTAAAGAAGCAAAAGACGCTTTTCAATGATTTAGTCTTAATGATTAAACTGAAATAATCTCTTTAAATAATTCAATTTCTGATTGTTTTTAGAACTCTATTTTGAATATGGACCTTGTGTATTGGAATATGGCAGTATAGTAGTTTCCTGATTCTGGTTCCGTCCTCTCTTAAACATTTCGATTTTTTTTTCAAAAAGTTTGCTTTCAAGACTCCTCGGGAAATTGAGCTGCCTCCCCAAATAAGAATATGAACAGCAAGACAAGTAATATTTAGGAAAATTGCATATAAAGCTGTCTTTGTCTTCTTGCAATTCTTTACTCTTTTCAAACCATTGCTGTTTTTGTCAAGTGCATCTTATTGTAAATTTGTTTTGAGGGTTTAAAGCAATGGATTCAAGTTTAATTATCTGTTTAGATTTCTGACAAACGTGGATGACAACAATTTCTGGCTTTTTGAAATAATTGTTTAGATTTTCGTTTTCACTTATTTTTCCAAAATTGGTGACCACTGGGTACTAAGCTTTTATACTGACAATTGTTTCTTTAAAACAGTGTAAACTACCTCCAAATTGATGCCTATCAAATTTGCTAGGTGTCTTAAATTCAATTAATCATCCTAAGTGATAATTTGTTGAATTTTGGCAAACACAACATTGGTTGTTGTAAGTCCTTGTCGCCAAGAACGGTACCAATTTTTGATGCTTATTATATTATTATTGTTCATTGAAATCCACCTAACCTTGTGTCTATAATACAAACATTGAATGCTTTCAAATATTTCAGTAAATATTTCTTTAGGATTCTTAACAAGTTTTACTGCAGTTTTAATGAAGCGTTTAATTCACTATAGTTTACTGATTCTTAACCATTCATTTTTTATACAGTGACTCGAATAGCCCTTGTTTTCCAGCTTCTCACAATGAGAATATGAGATGAGAAGTGGTCATATAAACTGATATCAATTCATTAAAGGTACTTGGACACAGATTTGAAGTTATTATTTTCTCTTTAATATTACGACTTATATATTTTAATAGCATTTCTCACAAAAATTAATTAAAAATCTTATTTCATATAAAAGATATTAATATTTCAAATTTTGTGGTGGGTTTGATTGACACATCCTTGCAAATTCATTTTATTCTTAATCCTTATGAAAGTTGCAATCTTGTGTATAAATGAAAAATATCAATACTATAACCCAGAAAATTCAGAGTAGACATGTTCGAAAGCAAAACAAACACACAATATATTGTCAGTCCGTGCAGTTGTGGTAAGCAGACTGTGACGATTTAGGACGCACCCGGTGAATTGTACACATAAACAAAAACAGAACTAGTGCCCTGTTTACAAAAACTGTGTACATAGCACGAGTGTGCTCGATTTGCTAAACCCTGTAAGCAACTCTTGGTTCGGAACGACGATATTTGTGAAGGAGTTTTTCTTTCTAACATCTCTACTCTGAATAAAATTATTTTTCTGGATAAAAGTTTTAATATTTCTCATTAATACACAACAAGATTGCCACTTTTCCTAAGGATTAAGAATAAGGTTAAAATTTGTGAAAGTGCAAGCATGTGTCAAACAAACCCACCGAAAAATTTGAAGTTTTAATAACTTTTAAATGAAATAAGATTTTTAATAAATTTTTGTGTGAAATGCTATTAAAATATATACGTCGTAATATTATAGAGAAAATATTGACTTCAAATCTGTGTCCAAGTATCTTTAAAGATTCAATCATGAGAGAAAGTCAGACTTAATGCTCTATGAAATCTGTGTTGTATGTCATAGAGTTCATGACATTATTTATTGAACATCCCTCGTACTTTACACTATTAGATATTTGTTTCTTTGTTTTCGTTTGGAACAAACCTTGATCGTATTGTACATGATGAGCAGCTTCAGTTGGCAATCTTGTGTAGGTTTTCATAACATTGTCTGCTAGTAATGCTGAACCACGAAACAGACTGAAGCATCCAGGGGAACACAACACACAGCCAAACACATGCTCTGTAGCCTTCTGAAGCCAGTGGCTTATAGCATACTCAAACGTTTGATACCAAACCATAGGGCCTGAATTAAAAAAAAAATATTGTTTTATTGATTTAAATGAAGAAATAAAATATAATGAATACTTCATTAAAAAGAGTGGGTATAAAACATACAAAGTTTGAAAGGAGTTATCCAAACAAAAAAAAAAGTACCCGTCTGGTCATCCCACTCAACCTTTTCCCCCCTTTTCAAGCTTTTTTAAACAGAATTTTTACAATGCACGATATTGTGAGAATGTCTGAAAGTTTTTGTCTTTCAGCAGCTACTTTAACATTTATTAGGCTTAATACTCACCAGAACCTATAGGATGAATGCGACCACAAGCAGCCCCAACTAATGGATTCTTTTTCATACGATCGAGCAAACGAGTTACCGCCTCCGGCTTAAAATCCACATCCCCATCCAAAGCTAGTATAAATGTATTGTCAGCAAACATCCTCATTTTTTGCTGTACAATCTTCTCGCTGTTTTTCGGGTCCCTCTTAAGTGATTCTTTTGTCTCATTCATTTTGAAGGTTAGTAGATAATAGAGATACATTACCTTTAATTCCAAACAAAAGCAAATAATTAAAGACGATTTAAACTGGGTAATTGTATAAAGTTTTAACGTTTGATGGAATTAAATTCAATATGTTCTAAAACTTGATTTAACTTTATACTATATGAGCCAAATCAAACTCAATTTCTGAATATACAATGAGGAAATATTTACAATTCTCTCTCTCTCTCTCTGTGCGTTTGTAAGTTTTGAATTGTACCTGGCTCCAACGTTTCCGATGCCTTATTTTTGTTTTGTCTTTGAGGTGTACAACAAGTTTCTGAGATGTTAGGAGCTCCCACTCAAATCTAGCTCCATAGGGTGTCTCATATCGCTTTACTTCGTCTAACTCAAATCCACCGTAAACTGACCTGTGTTATAATTATGAAAGAATCAGTATATTGGTGACTCCCTCCTCTATCTCTGGTTATGAATATATGTTAGAGTTTTTACACCGATTAATATCAATAAGCTTACTTTGCTGTCTTTGGAATCACATTCTCAAGAGTCCTTACAAAATTATTGACGTCTTTTCCTTTTAAAACTTTACCAGTTTTGGTTTTCCGGGGTTTGAAAGCGTCATCGAAGAAAATATGCACTAAAATTTATTTCAAAAAAGTTTGAGCTTGTATATTTATGTTTAAATATTTGTCATCAATCATTTTACTTTTTACAGCTAAGCATGTATTCTTACCTGAAAAGTCGTAACCCTCTTTGTCTACGTAACGTGTCTTATTCATCAGCTTCCTCTTTTCATTGATTTTATTTTCATAACCCTTTTGAAGATATTGTTCATAATCAACCCTAAAAATTAAAAAAAAAATGAATCTCCGCTCGACTCTAACAGGAAAGGATCTCACATTAGACTAGGTAATTATTTGACAAAGTTCTCAGCTATTAACAATAAAGGTAATTAACAATGTACTCAGTAATTAACAAGGACATGTTTAGATAAAATACGGAATTCTTTCTTTCAGTTTTTATTTCCCACCTCCATTTTTAGTCTGTATCTCATAAATGATTTTTACAAAGGCTGAAAACATAATAAACATTATCGGCCGTCCAAGTAGGTAAAGAATTTATTAAATCAAAGTCTAACAATTTAAGATTTTTGACTAGTGTCCTAGTTGGCACAAAACATGCTGTCTTACAAGTCACGAGACAGAATTATTCACATTACCTAAGGGAAGATTATAAAAAAAATGTGATGACTCCCGTCTTTGAAAACAGATTTGCAATTCGTATATGCATTCTTTTATGTAATGTAATTATGTAAAGTTGTAGATTAGACGTTGATAATTGATTTAATTAATAGACAAAAAGTGCAGTCAACCTTTGATTACATTTTCATATCAATTTTGTTACCAAGAAAAAAACTCACCTAAAAATGGATTTCAGTAGCTGTGTCATTTCAGTTTCAGTTTCGTGCCACATCGTTGCACAGAAATACACATTTGGGACCGTGTAATACGTTTCATTATTTTCATTTTCAGTTAAAGTGATTTCTTCTTCTGTTTCCTGTAAATAGTTTTTCTTAAACGTTTTATCTAGTCACATTTTTCCTTTTTTCAAAAACAGTTCAAAATAACGAAAACCAACCTTATTGTTTTCCGCTTCCGTCTGTTCCTCTGTGTCTTCACATCTCGTTAGAAGCAGCGACATATTGAGAAAAATTCCACAGTATGGCGGTTTTCTGAATAAGCTGTAAAAATCATTAATACATCTGTAAATTATATATTTTGCGACCCTTTTTTTCAAGATATATTTGTTTGTTTTCATATGGGTGAGAAAATTTGACTTATGATGTAAAACTTAATATTTATAAAAATTTATTAAAAGGATATAGACGGAAAGAGGTCTTGCGGTCTTCACAAAATAAATTTTCTTGAAAAGAGTGATATTTTTAAGTTACCAAAGTCAATCAAATGACCTTCTACCATCTGTTTTTGTCCGCTGTCAATATCTGTCGTGCATTAACATTGAAAAGCCTTTTCTCTAAAAAGAACTTCAATTTCAACTTATAGCATCTATAATTGATGGGGGACAAAAATGGTTAATTTCATCCCCCCTTTTAGACCTTAGGAATGCGCATAAACCCTTACAAAAAGTACCATAGTTAACTACAGTAGGTCAAAGTCAATCAAATAAATTTATTATGGATTTCAGATAAATATATTTTGTTTTTGAAAATTCCCCACAGCTAGTTTTCTGATATGAAAAAGAACTATTTCTTGTATATTTACATATTTTTCGAAAAAAAAATAGGCTCTTAAGGATCTTAATCTTCAAAAAAGTTCTAGTGTTATGTTCCATCGTAAATCAAAGTATTTATTTAAGTTACTTAACAATATAGTATTTACTGTGAAAAAATGTCTTGTTACATGATGGATACCATCGAGATTAATTCGTTTATTAATTCCATTCAAGAATAAATTTCTTCAACTGAGAGAGGTCATGGTAAGAGTGCATAGAGTACTGCAATAATTGTGATCAAATTGTATTTCTTTAATCAGTTTGCATGGTGGTATAGCGACGCATTACCTTATTTAGTTTGCATGACGGTAGCAACGTATTTATTATTCAGTTTGCATAGTGGTGGCGACGTATTGCTTTATTTAGTTTGCATGGTGGTAGCGATAAAGGGGGCCAAATGTAAGAGAGTAAATAGCACTACTTGAAGAGTTGTCACTGAGTACTAGGATTTGCTAACTCATGATGGTCTTCTTTTGAATACTAAACTGCAGCTTGTACAGCTTCATCCATAGTGGGAAAATAAATGTAGCTCTTCAGAGTCAATATTTTTGTTGCTTTACTCTACTGTAAATAAATAATAACATATATATAATAATCATGGACACCCCATGAACTTCGGATCAACGGAGTGATCATACGCGATCCAGATATCATTCGAACAGCATGGTACGAACACTACAAAACACTTGCTGCAAAGACAAAAGACCCGTTGTTTGATCAAAGGTTCGAAGAACATGTAGAACTCTCTGTAATAAACATGAAGGAAGAATCCTATAGAAACTTTGATAAAGTTGGTGATGTTATGATAAAGAAAGAAGAGGTTACAGAAGCAATGAAGAAAATGAAAAACGGAAAAGCACCTGGCCTTGACAAACTTGTCATTGAACATTTGCGCTTTGTGCAAGACATTATTCTAGAAATCCTGTTAGAGCTGTTTAACGCAATTCTAAACAACGAAAAATATCCGTTACAATTCAAAAGAGGAGTTACTATAACTTTGTTCAAAGGAGGAAAAAAAGACAGACTCGACCCTAATAGTTATAGAGATATAACCTTAACCTCAGTCCTACAAAAGTTATTTGAAAACATATTGTACACAAGAATAAAGCGTATCAACGTTGAAATTCATTTTCCACACCCTCTTCAGCAGGGTTTCCGTCCAGGATGTGGAAGTATACCGGCAGGATTTGTTATAACGGAAACAATTCACCACTATATAGAGAGAGACTCTGATATTTATGTGGCATTTCTAGACAACCAAAAGGCATTTAACAGCGTGTGGCATAATGGTTTACTCTACAAACTATACAAATTAGGTATCAATGGTAAAGGGTGGCGTTTGCTTTCCGACTCTTTTTGTGATTCCAGCTCTCGAATCCTATACGAAAAAGAACTGTCGAAGGAATTCACTTTACAGCAAGGTGTCGGGCAAGGAAGGGTACTATCGTCGTGGTTTTTCCTTCTGATGATTGACGGGTTGATAGAAATGCTGGATAAAAGTGCGACTGGAGCATGTGTGTGTGACCTTCACATTCCAAGTGTTATTCTGGCTGACGACACTTCCCTTATATCCAACACTCCCAGTGGTCTCCAGAAGCAACTGGATATTGTCTACAATTACGCTAGACGTTGGCACTTGCGTTATAATCCTAACAAAAGTTGTATTCTGTTTTTTAGCGCTAGTAGAAAGCGACAAAAGCAACCTGCGGCTAGACCATTTATTCTTGGTCAGGAAAACATCAACTTACATTCAGAAAATGTTTATGCTGGGGTCATCCTTACTGATAGGTTGCGAAACGATACAGCAATCACACAAGCATGCAGGAAGGGCAAGCGCATATTAAACTCGCTTATCAACATAGGAGTTCATGATCAGGGTATACATCCCATGACCAGCGTTAAATTGTGGAAAACAGTTGTCATGCCATCGATCTTGTATGGATGCGAATTATGGGATGTGATCTCTAAAAAGTCGATCGAAGAGCTGGAAATTGTACAGAGATACGCGGCCCGTCGAATGCAGGGATTTGACCAAAGATCACCAACACTGTGTACCATATTTTCCCTTGACCTGGTTGAAATGAAAAGGAGTATAGATAAAATCAAGTTGATGTTCTGGAACAGACTCTGTACATCAAGTTATTCTCTATTCTACAAAAAGCTTTTCATTGCAAGGCTGTGCTCTTTTGGTTCGACGACACCAAGACCGAAGCGTGGATTCATAGCAGATATTCACTCCATAATGAGGGAATACAACATTGATTTCTTTTTCAGGGAGTACCTTTTAAATCGTGACATCCCACCAAAACACACCTGGAAGCAATTCGTAGGAACTGTAGTTGATACTGCTGCTGAACGTGAGTGGAGGGAGAACTTAAACCAAAGAAAAGAGCTTCGCAGATACGCAGAAATACATGAAAATTTATCAACTCATCCCCTTTGGCTACTCGGTTTGAAGCTTCCGAAACACACATGGAAATTAGCCTCAGTAATCAGACTATCGGTCGACATCGTTAAAGAGGAGGTGAACTGCAAATTGTGTACGCGTACAACAAGTGATATTGCATTGCATTTTCTCCTTGAATGTCCAACGCTATTTGCTAGCAGAGACAGCTTGATGGACGAAATAGTAAACGCGATAAATGTCCAGTCTTATGTTAATCTCACAAATAATTGTGACGACGTAATCGCTGATACCATTCTTGGATCAAGACGTGGTTCGATCGTATCTGAGGAGGAGTGGGAAATGTTTATGCTTGCTGTTGCAACTGGCGTTGCGCGTATGATGACAGAAATGAACACTTACTTACATGAAGTATAAAACTTCAAAAATTGATAAATAATGTACATAGTGTTTAAATTATGGACAGTAACTTGCGTAATTGAGAAATTGTGTACATATTTCCACACTTTTGTTTAAAAGTTCAAATATTGTTACAAACTTAATATTTTGATGCATTGATCTCTGCTGCAGAGGAAATAAAGAATGTCTGTCTGTCTGTCTGTCAAAAAAGTTCTAGTGTTATGTTCCATCGTAAATCAAAGTATTTATTTAAGTTACTTAACAATATAGTATTTACTGTGAAAAAATGTTTTGTTACATGATGGATACCATCGAGATTAATTCGTTTATTAATTCCATTCAAGAATAAATTTCTTCAACTGAGAGAGGTCATGGTAAGAGTGCATAGAGTACTGCAATAATTGTGATCAAATTGTATTTCTTTAATCAGTTTGCATGGTGGTATAGCGACGCATTACCTTATTTAGTTTGCATGACGGTAGCAACGTATTTATTATTCAGTTTGCATAGTGGTGGCGACGTATTGCTTTATTTAGTTTGCATGGTGGTAGCGATAAAGGGGGCCAAATGTAAGAGAGTAAATAGCACTACTTGAAGAGTTGTCACTGAGTACTAGGATTTGCTAACTCATGATGGTCTTCTTTTGAATACTAAACTGCAGCTTGTACAGCTTCATCCATAGTGGGAAAATAAATGTAGCTCTTCAGAGTCAATATTTTTGTTGCTTTACTCTACTGTAAATAAATAATAACATATTTATCAGTTTTTTTCGTTTTATAATACTTTTTACCTCTATGGATCTTCAAAGTAATGTATCTTAATCATGTAACCATTGGGTCCTAGGATCTCCTGTTCAAACAATAGTTTTATTGTTTTCATCTATTTATATATATATTTTAAAAAAGGTACTGGTATACTCGATCGTATGAGAGGATACCATTTGATGTAATGTTGGGCCTTCTATTCAAATATTGTTTTATGCTTTAAAACAATTTTAAAAAGGCAAATGAATTGACCACCACATGTACCTCACATTCTGCTGATTTACCTCTCGCATTTAACTAGCTTGGATCCA